CATTTAAAACTCCATTAAGAGTATAAAAACTTATCCTCTGCATGCAATGGATCACACTAGTTTCTAAATTTTGAATGAATTTTACAGTACTTAACAAACACATAACAATAACTTATTTTTACCCATTAAACTTTAATTAGAGATTACTAATTCAACGTTAGATTTCATTATTGGTATCTAATAGTAATGGTTTAAATCCATTCTACTTGTAGTACTACTAAGCAAATATCTTGGAATTCAATTTTGTTTTATGGTAATTATCATACTTGAGATTAAATCTCTAATATAATCACTTCAAGCTAATATGTCTAAACTTTTTATTTTACATATTATTTATATGCTCCAGACATTATTGCCTCATTTTTATCATTTTAAGAAATAGTTAGTTTTGGTTATGGCCACTACTCTATACTCATAACTTTCAACCATTCTATTTTCATACTTTTATACATCTTTAATACAATTATACTTCTAGTACAATTGAAAAAACTCAATGAATAAACCAAACCATTTTAATCCTTTTAATATTTTTAAGGACCTTTTTATGATTTTACTTTAATAAGTGTCTAAACTTATTAGTTTGTATAATTTGCTCATAAAATTATACTAAAATCTTACAACACTATGATGATAATTTTTATTTTTTTATTTTTTTATTCTTATCACCCTACCATTTGCAAGTATGCATTATTTTATTAAAAAATGTTTCATTCAATTGTCAAGATATCATATATAATTAATCAAGTTGCCAATTCATTTATCTTTTCACTATTTAATGATTTTTTTTAATAGAAAGCCTCCAAATCCACCTTTAGTGAAAGATAACTAGCAAATATCTTCATATTTCTATAAAAGTTCCAAAACTTTTATATTTTAACTCAATATAAGAGTTTATATCAATTAGGCAGATTTCAAATATAATCATGCTTTTATAGTGTCTTTTAAAATTTTTTATGTCAATTCATAAATACTTATATAAATCTATTTCATCATAGACACTATTAATAGTTCTTATTATCATGAACAAAGCCATTTCCATCACCCAAGTTGATCAAATAACATTCTTTTTGCTATTATAAAAGTTTTCATATTCACAAGATCTTTGAATCATTCATGGCTTCCAAAGTAAATATATTTTAAAATTTTATTATATAAAACCATATATGACAAATCATTTGTACAATCCATGAATTAAACTATATACATAATAAAAAATTACCATAACGTGATTAAGATAGTGGCATCAATTTTGACTTATGGCTATTCTAAGCCAACCATAATAATCTACATCATACCTACAAATCATGTATATTTGTTATTGAAGTTATCTCATTTATAGTGATGAATTTTGGTGAAAACCAACTATCTGAAATGTTATTAGGAGTTTTGAATGCATATATTAATTGCCCAATGGCCAATTCCAAGTTCATGACTATTGAAACCTCTAAACTTGATTTTAAAATTTTATGAGAACTTTATTTCTCCACCATTGTGTAGCCTATATATTTCTATTATTTACCACTTTTAATTAGTCATAACATTTTCGGATGTATAATAAATTCAAACTTTACTCATAAAACCAATATGCCTATGTACAATAAGAGTCCATAATATATTTAACTTTAATTTCAAATATTTTCACAATCATTTTGTGATCAATATGTTCATATTTAGATCACCATATCAACACAAGTCATGAAACATGAATCCAAAGAATCATTTTCATAAAATAGTATAAAAAATAACTATAATATGAGTTTTACTCATATTTCATGCAAAAACTCGTGATGAATTTGCATTGATTAAATCATTAATTGGCTAACTTCAAGGTTTATGGCTTTGAAAAACTAATATTATTATCTAAGCCCATATGTTAATTTGGTGTATAACTAGCCACATCATTGCCATTGTCATGAAACTATTGAAAATCTTGCAAACTTGTTCATTTTTCATTATAACAACCTGCAAAAGTCATTTTTCCAAGTACAAAAAGCAAAAATGTCCTCATTGTCTTTGACCAATAAAATATTAATTTGATGATGACATTCTGTCTCCATAGTCCATATCTTTTTTAACATATAAGAAAGAAAATTCCATTCCATTCATTTCATTTTCATAATATATGGCAATGTGTACCAATGTTCTTTATGCCATCACAAAATAGAATTAAACACATGAATGTATCGATGCCTTTGGAACATCAAATTTGTATTTTTTTTCTAATTTATAAACATAACTAATTTAGACATTGATGAGTATCCTTCAAAATGCTAGTAACCAACAAATGCTTCAATATTTTTTAATAACATACCTTTTCTTTTAATCAATATCCTATATACGAAAAGCAACAATACTTTTGTGTAACCATTGATAATTATTTAACAGCTATTTATGATTTTTTCTTTGTGATTGTTCATAGTAAAATTTTATTTTGTAAAATCACTACTAGTATAATATACCAATAGATGAAATACATGTTACACTGCCTATGTTTTTTATAATAATAAGTATTTGGTTTATTATCCACCAATTAATCCATGAAACACCATATTTTAATATAATTATTCACATACATCAATTTAATTTTAATTAATTTTCATGAAAATTGAACATTAGTCAAAATTTGACCAATAATAAATTAAAAAAAAAAATCAACCTTTAATCTATAAATGACCAACAAAGATAGAACCATACAAATAGCTTGACTCAACTTATCATCGTAATTTTGGTGCCATAATTTAAAAATAAAACTAATCTTGCAGTCAAATTTTTTTTCTGCATATATTCTCTATTTATATCTATTTTTTTATGGTAAATTCTTTTACCTATTTTTGATTATTTTCATGGAAACTATAGGACAATTTGCCTATTCTATATATAACTAAGACATGACAATTAAACAATTAGTCATTCCATTAGAACCCAGTTTAATTTCTTACTTGATAATAAGTGATAATTCTTTTGGTTGTAGATCAATTCATATATTTCTCTTTTATGTTTTCAGGCTATTTTTCATGCCAGTCTTTATAAGTATTAATTTTTCAAATAGATATAATATGATTTATTAAACCCAATTGTGGAGCTAATTTCAGTATATGCATAAACTTATGCAATGTAATCAATATTTTGCATATTGTGTTTTGACTTTACACACTAATAAAATTAATTATTAACGTATTTATCTCATTCAGTTAATCTTCTTATCTGTAATTATGCAAAAAAATAAAATACATATCTTTAATATAGATTTTTATGAAAATTAATATTTTGGTCAATGGAAATATTAATCTTTTGACACCTTGAGCATTCTCTAATATTGATCTCCAAATTATGCAAATTACTTTTCCTTGTATCTTCCTTGTGCGAAATATAATTTTTTTTTAAATTGTTCGAAAAAATAAATAAGAGAAGAGAAATAATAAAAAAAAATTTGGCTTTGAAGCTTGAAAAATACTTTCTTAAAAGTAATTATGTCTTTAGGATATAACAAAACCTCAAATTCCTTAATCAGAAATAATAAAAATGGTTATACTGAAAGATTTATTTATAATAAATGAACAGACATGAACTTTTATTCAAATGATTTAATATTTTGTATAATTATGACCTTTATGAATAATAATATATTTATATTCAAATAGTTATGACCATTTATCATATGATAATTATTTTTGTTCGAACATAATTATTAAATAAATAAATAAAATTAATATAAAAATTAACTTTGCTCATCAATATTAAATTTTTCTATCAAATGTGAGATATATCACATTTTAAACTACCAATATCAACAACATACATACTTATAAATGTGAATATCAAGGATTAAGCTATTAATCAATTACAAATTATTATAAAAAAATTTATCTCCTCCAATTGCATATTATTATAGGTTTAAATTTTAAATACATAATTTGGCAATATAAGCTCTTTCTATTTTTGAAATCAAACACCCAAAATTAAAGAAGTTCAAGTATACAAAATTTTAGAGAATTCAAAACAAAAACTATTGAATGCATGGCCAATAAGACTTTTATTGTAAAAAACTAGAAAGAAATATTCAAACTTAAATTAAAAAAAACTAAAATTAAAGCTATGGAATAGTTAACAATATTTTTTGGACAATAATTGAAAAAATATTAAAGATTAAATTAGTTTGTAATTTTAATTTTGAAATTTGAATTGTTGATTATAATCTAAACACATGACATCATTAGATATTATTCATGCATAAGAAATTAGCCTACATATATACACTTATTTTGTTTTTTTTTTTTTTCAAGTTAATATATTGAAGTTATCTTTTATGTGCATATATATATATATATATGTTAGATTATTCTAGCAAATTAATATGTTTGTATAGTCATAAATAACAATTAGTAAATATACAAAATTATTCATGATTAATTAGTTTTTATTTAAATTTAAATTTTTTGAATTAATGATTAAATTAATTATCACTAATTTATAAGGAGTAAGAATATTGATATTTAAACATAATTAATTTAACCATAATAAATTATTTTAAAATTAATTATATAATCAAATTCATTAATTATATAACATGTGACATTTACTTATGACATTTCATATGTAAAAAATATAACTTATCCACATAAGATTATTTTCTTTTATGCTAAAAATTTTTACTTTTATATATTTATATAAGATTTATATAAAATGATTATTTCATATTAATATGTATTATTTTCATTAAATTATATTATATAATTATATTTTAAAAAGTTAACTGTTTGTTATATATCATATTATAATTAAATGATAAATATTTATTTTAATAAATTTATTAATAATTATTATAATAAATAATTTTTTAAAAATATGCAATTATATAATATAATTTAAATAAATATAACGTATACCGACCTAAACTGACTATTCTGTGTCAAATCTTCTTTGCGAGCCACTGTGTAGCAGAGTTATACAACCATGAAACTATCCCAAAAATAGAAAAACAAAAAACAAAAAAACAAAATTCCAGCACTTTTGACTAGTCACGATAAAATATGGAGTACGAACTCGAAAAAATTCCTTAAAAAAATCTAAAAAAATATATTTTTTTGGTTTTTGGTATAAAAAATTATAAATATTTCACTTTTTTTTTCTTCCCTGCATCTGATTCGCACGTAACATCTCTCCTTCCCAACTTCACCACTTTTTTCTCTCTTTCAAGATCCATTTCTTCATAAAGAAAAAAAAAGAGAGAAAGTCAATTCATGTTTGATTTGATTCTCTAGTTCTTTGCACTTTAAAAGCATTTCTCTGTGTGAGAGAAAAAAACCAACAGATTGCTTTTTTTGTTCTTTCTTCAATTTCTCTAAAACCCCTCCAAACCTTCTACTCTTGAGCTTAAATCAACATTTCCTATCTGGGTTTTCTTTTTTGTCCTCTCCCCTTTTAGCATTCACAAATATTTTAATTTTCAAAAACCCGAAAAGAAATATAGAAAAAAAACAGAGGAAATGGAGTTTGTGGGCAAATCCGTGAATAAAAAGTTCAAAGGATTTGGTTGTTTCTCGGGAACTGTTAATTCCTTTAATTCTTCGTCTGGGTTTTTCGAGATCGTTTACAACGACGGCGATTCCGAGGAACTCAACTTCGACCAAGTTGCTTCTCTTGTCATGGCTGATGATTCTAACCCAACCCACGAGCCCAGGCCCGACCCGGGGTTAGCTGTTGTCCGTGAGAAGCGGAGGGTTGGAAGGCCCAGGAAACGACGCCGTGTTGAGAGGAAAATTCTTGTTTGTCCAGGTAATGTAGACAAGGAAACCCTAGAGAGTAATACGAATGGGAATTTGATTAGAAATGTTGATTTGAATGAACAGTTTGGTGGGAATTTGAAGGAAAATGAGGGTTTTGATGGTAATTGGAATGAAATCGTAGATGAGAAGGGAATTGGGTCTCGAAGGGATTTGAATTTGAATTTCAATAATAATGGGGATATTGAAATGAAAAATGGGATTGATTTGAATTCTTCTGGGTTTGATTTAAATCTGAATGATACTTGTTATGGTTATAATTATTTAAACGATAATGGTAATTGTTATGGTGGGGGAGAGAGTGTGAAGAAGATAGGGTGTATTGATTTGAATTTGGACGCAAATTGGGATTTGGATGACAATATTAATGCTAATTGCGAAACCCAAAGGAGGGAATGTGGTTTTGATTTGAATTTAGGGGCTGATGAGGAGATTAGCAAGGATGGTATTAATGCTAACTGTGGAGGGCATGTGCAAGTGAGAGAATCTACCCCTTGTGCTGAGATAGTTCAAGAAACACAGAAAATGGAGCAAAATGATGTGGAAGAGGATGTTTCTAGCAAGGATTTGAAGGAAGATCGATCAAGCTTAGGATCTATTGAAGGATTCCTTGAGAATGGTGGTGTTATGGATACAGATGTTATCAAGACTGCAGTAATTAATGGGCACCAAGCCGATATCGGAAGTTCATACAAACAAGCTAGTGGGCGGAGAAAGAGAAGAAAAGTTTCAAATGACTTGGATTCTTCAAGAGAAAGGGTGTTGAGAAGAAGTGCTCGGAGAGGGTCAGCTAAAAATCATGCATCAAGCACACCACCACCCACAAAGTGTGCAGTTGGCAATTTGTCAACATCTCCTTCAGTTATTGCAGTTACAGGCAGAAAGCCGGTTACGTCAAGTCGTAAAGTGTTTGAAGAGCCTATTATTCTTCCTCCAAAGCTGCAATTACCACCATCTTCCCAGAACTTGAACTTGGACGGGATTGCTCTACTCGATATTTTTTCTATTTATGCTTGTTTGAGGTCATTTAGTACTTTATTATTTTTGAGTCCCTTTGAGTTGGAGGATTTTGTGGCTGCACTGAAGTGCCAGTCTCCCAGCTCATTATTTGATTGTATTCATGTTTCCATTTTGCAAACTCTGAAAAAGCATTTGGAATACCTTTCTAATGAAGGTTCTGAATCTGCTTCTGAATGTTTGAGGTATTTTTATTCTTTCCATTCTTTTTCCTCTCCTGCCCTTGCCATGTCAATATTGTTTTTGTTTTCCAGTTATCAGTGTTTAATATTCTTGTTATCTTACAATGTAGGAGCCTTAATTGGGGTTTCTTGGACTCCATTACATGGCCAATTTTCATGGTCGAGTATCTATTCATTCATGGTTCAGGATTGAATTGTGGTTTTTATCTTAGTGGTTTGAAACTATTCAGAATTGACTATTATAAACAACCTGCATATGTTAAGGTTGAGATACTTAAGTGTTTGTGTGATGATATGATTGAGGTTGAAGCCATAAGATCTGAACTTAATAAAAGGTCATTGGCATCTGAGACTGACATGGATTTTGATCGAAATATGAACATTGAGGTTTACAAGAAAAGAAAAGCTGCTATGGATGTGTTAGGTGGATCTGGCATAAGTGAGGAGACAGTTGATGACACTACAGACTGGAATAGTGATGATTGCTGCCTTTGCAAGATGGATGGAAGTTTAATATGCTGTGATGGCTGTCCTGCTGCTTACCATTCAAAGTGTGTAGGTATTGTCAATGCTCTTTTGCCAGAAGGTGACTGGTACTGCCCTGAGTGTGCAATTGAAAGACATAAGCCATGGGTGAAACTTCGTAAATCACCTAGAGGAGCAGAGCTTTTGGGCGTTGATCCTCATGGTCGGTTATATTATAACAGCTGTGGTTATTTGTTAGTGTAAGTTTGTTTTGCTCAACCTGTAGAAATGGGTTATTAACTGATGACTTCTAGTACTATATAATTGTTAATGAATGCATGTGTGGGAAATACTGTTCTGGTTGAATGATGAAGAGTGCATAAAATTCCTTATCATCTTACCCTTGTTGACTGATTTATTTCCCTTCAAATCCTTATTTTGTCATATATTATTTTAACATTTACTTAATAGCAATTTTTAAACCTATTTTGCGAATAAGGCAAAAACCTTTTTTTTTTTTTATAAATTTAATTCTTTAACTGTGGAATCTTCCTGTCATTATCTTCATAAAGGTCTTGTTAGTTATGGCACATGATATGGAGACATCAATTACACAGCCTTTAACATCCATCTCCACCATTCATCAAAAAACTTCATGTTGCACCAACATGTAGATGGATTATTTTATTTGACATGATTATGATCTTTTTCGGAATTGCTGATGTCAAAACAAAATCCTTTGATTGATGCTTAGCATGCTTCTATATATTTTAATCATGATTCTGTTTTGAATGATATTATTTGCACAAATTTTCACTGAAAATTATTGTTGTATAGTTCTATTTGAATTATAATAACATAGCTTTTTTTTTTTTGTATAATTTAAATTAGAGAGATATCCAGAAAAAGGTAAAACCTAATTTCTCATCCTAGATTTTAAGTTCTTATGAATCACACAGCAGGAAGAGGGCAACTTCAAGAGTTTGTGACTTTTTATAGTAAAATAATTGTTTTCACCAACTCCAAGGGATTATGTCCAAAAAACAGTTATTGTTAGATTTTTTTTCTCATCCATGATGAAATATATTTCTTTCTAATCAACTAATTTAATGGAGGAGTATTTGATCGGGTCATATAGTGGAGTTTGAGTTCCCTTGGTTTATTACACCAAATGAAATGGTTTCTATCTGTGTTTCTGCTTCATTCCTGAAAGTTTTGTCATTTATTTTCCCAATCTTCGTTTTGCTCAACCTCCATTGTGTTTTAAGCAAGATACAAACATGTATTTCCTTTCATGTTTGTTCCTTGTCATTATATGAAAATGTTGGGTGCCCCTGACATAACATCTTCTCCCTTGCACAACTGGCATGTTTGAAATTTGAAATTTGAAATTTGAAATTTTGGCAATTTCAGCTCTTCTTCCAAATATTTTGGAATGATTATGGAAATTGTGCTCTGTTCTTATTTTATGCTTGACTCATAAGGTTTCTGTAAGAAAATTATAGTTAAGGTAAAATTTGTAGGTATTATACTTTCCATTCCATTCAAAATCAAAAAGCAAATTATTCAAATTAAACTGGCAAAATTTTTCGTAGAAAGGAAATCTTAGTTATTAAACTTCTCTAAACTCATGTTAGGTTCTGTATTAACATAGAAGATTTGTATTTTAATGTGTGTATATATATATATTTATTTATTTATTTTTAAATGGAAAAGATTACTAATTTCAGGGTTAACAATTCTCTTTCAATATGTTATTGCTTCTGCTGTTACTTTGACATTGTATTGTTGAAATTGCAGGTTAGATTCATGTGATGCTGAGTACTCATTGAATTACTACCGCAGAGATGACCTTAATCTTGTACTTGATGTGCTAAAATCTTCAGATATTTTGTATAGTGACTTAATAAAAGCAATTTGCAAGCAGTGGGATGTTGCTGTTGGCTCAAATGGTGCTAGTAGTAACTTGTACTCTCTGAATTCTGTTTGTTCAAAGACACTTACCAAGGGGCAAATTCCAACTGTTAACACATCGCTGCCACATGTGGCTTCTATAGAAGTATGTGCGATAAAAATTGAGACTGTTGATGATGGAAAACCAGAAGAGAAGGAAGTTGCTGAAAATTCTGGTCATCTTGATATTGAGGTTACAGAGTCTGTTAACTTGTTGGATTTGTTCGCTGGAACAGAAATCCCATATATAAGTTCTGAAGTCCCGGCTGAAACAATACAATTGGGTTCTGTCATTCATAACTTTCAGAAACAAGGTTCTGTTGAGTTCTCGAATCAATCTGAGATTCCAGGAAAATCCTCAACTCTTGAAGACCGTTCTTTAATATCTAATGGTTTAGATACTAAACAAGAAAGCAAGACAAAGTTAGATCAAACTCCATTTGCAGTAAATGCAAAAAGAGGTGATGCATCAGAAACACAGCCTGGGACTGGCTACTTGAACCACTACAGTTTTGCCCAAACTGCCTCATTAGTTGTAGAGAGTTAATGCATAAGCCATCAGAAAAAACAAATGAAGACTCCCTAAACTCTGTTGAGGAGATAATTGCAATGCAGATGAACGTTATTTTGAAAAAATCCGACAGGTTTCATTGGCCAGATATTCATAATCTATATGTAGATGCACACAAAGAAAGTTGTGGGTGGTGCTTCTCCTGTAGATATCCTACAAATGATACAGATTGCTTGTTTAAAATTACTTTGGGTTGTGTTCAGGAAGTTTCAAAAGGTGAGATGGTTGACCTTGAGTCAAAGTGGAACAGAGAGGGCCATGTTATTCATGTCATATGCCATATACTTTTCATTGAAAGTCGTTTGCGTGGGCTTCTGTTGGGTCCATGGCTGAATCAACAATACATCAATATCTGGCGTAAAAGCATTCTTAAGGCATGTGATATTGCATCTGTTAGACATTTATTGCTAATGGTAAGTATTTTCCATTTATTTTCCATTTATTTTCCACATAACTTAAAATTTTTTTTCACTATGGTTTTTAAGGATTCAACTTATCAGTTTATTTGGCATCATCCTAAGATCTGACCAACTAAATGTTTAAAGCTAATACCCTACAAATAATCTGTTTAACATGTTACTGCTAAGTCCAATTCAATCCCTTTCAAATTTCTTTTTTGTATGGTCTATTTTCACAAATTGTTATTTATTTTCTTGAAATAAATATACCCACATGTATAACCTGGTTGCTGTGAAAATGATATTTGTTCAAAATTGTTATTTCTGGGGCAGTAATTGGTTAGGTCTTGGGTTATTTCAATTTTGAGATTTTGACTTTTTTGGACAGTTTTGCACTTAGATAATTGATATTTTAGATTTAAATTTGGCTGGGTGAGGTTGGGCAGGTCATTTTGGTTTCTGTAAACTTTTCCACATTATTGTGTGAAAGCAAAAAGTAATAAGGTTCTGGTAATTTGGCGTTTGGGTTAGAGTCAATTCTGAACATTTAACTTTTTTAGTGAATTCTGATTGGTTCCGTATAGTGTTTTTAGAAGGTTAGATGGGTTGTTTTTGGTTGTATTAGGTTTTACCACCTCAGCTTCACATTCTTAGCTCTTTGGAATGGGTCAGTGAGACTAGGTACTCTAGTCATCTATCAACTATAACCACTTCATGTATATAACTTTGATCAATAATCTAATATATATCACTTCGATCTTAGTCTCTCGTTTCTGACATTATTCATGTTTTAACGGGTATGATGCAGTTAGAGGCAAATCTGCATCGCCTTGCACTCTCATCAGACTGGATGAAACCTGTTGATTCTGCTGTCACCATGGGTTCAGCTTCTCATATTGTGACTGCTTCAAGTCGTGGATCTGCCAAGCATGGGATTGCAAGAAAAAGGGGCATGTGCAATGATGGTGAGGGTAACACTACTTCTAATCCTGTTGTTGGACCAAGTATTTGTTGGTGGAGGGGTGGTAAGGTTTCTCGTCAGTTGTTCAACTGGAAGGTTTTACCCCGCTCTTTGGTTTCTAAGGCTGCTAGGCAAGGTCTGCATTTTTCCTCTTTTTCATTTAAGTTTTCTGGTTGGGGTTGTTAATATTTTGTTTTTTAAACTAAACAATGATTCTGAATTTCTTTGAAGTTTAAATTCTGCAGCAGGAGGCCAAAAGCTACCAGGCATACTTTATCCTGAGAGTCCTGATTTTGCAAAGAGAAGCAAATCTGTTGCATGGCGAGCTGCTGTTGAGTCATCAACTAGTATAGAACAACTTGCTTTCCAGGTATGATTCCTTATGGCCCTCATGTCTTATTTGTGATAGGGAGCAGTTGCTGGAAAAGTGGAGGGAAAATATTGATGCCAGTCTTACTGCTGTGTATATTGATTGAATTGTAAACAAGCGATAAGCTATTGACTTGCACCTTCATGCAGTTTTACAATAATTTCTTCATTAATCCCAGCTAATTGCACTTAGTCTAGAAACAATATCATGTGCTTTAAAGGTTTTTTGTTTTATTTTTTATTGAAATATTGATGTCCCTCTCATGAGGCTGTATAGTAAAGATTAGATATGAACCCAATGAGTTTGAAGTTTTGCTATAGAATGGAGATTAGTATATTTATCCAGAAACCAGCTGGACAGGCCAAGGGCAATAGATTGAAAAAATGAGAGGGGATTATCATGTTACATTGAAAGGCCAATTCATATATTGCTTATTAGATGAAAGAGATTGTCATCCTTCATCTCTGGTCAAGCCATATAGGCAATTAGATGATGGTTTGACAAGAAGCCAGGATTAGCTGGCATGAAAAGGTCTGGCTATTTAAGACGTTACTTTTTTCCCTTGGAGTCCAATAAGGTTCAACTTTAGATGCTGGCTTGTGTTTTTCCACTTTTTCTTGCCCATACTAGATATGCATGCAAGGCATGTTCTTACGTTATTTAGTCCCTATCTGTTTCAGTTCTTTTCTTTTAGCCATATATATTTATTTATAAATGTCATAAGTAGACACTAGGCAGACTGTAATGTTTTGCAATTGGCCCTACATGGTTGAGTGCTTGCCTTGATTATTTGCATTTTCAGTTATATGTTTATAATTAAGTCTGTCAAAATTTTCGGGAACCAAGCACTCTTTTGAATGCTAGCTCACTTTTCATTTGTTATATTTTCAGGTAAGAGAACTTGATTCGAACATTAGGTGGGATGACATTGAAAACACTCATGCTCTCCCTACATTAGATAAGGATTTTAAGAAATCAATCAGACTGTTCAAGAAATGTGTTGTGCGCCGAAAATCCATAGAGGGAGATGAGGTGAAGTATCTTCTTGATTTTGGGAAGAGGAGAATCATTCCTGACATTGTCATGAGATATGGCTCTGTGGTTGAAGAATCTTCAAGTGAAAGAAAGAAATATTGGTTGAATGAATCTTGTGTGCCTTTGCATCTCTTGAAAAGTTTTGAAGAGAAGAGAATTGCCCGTAAGTCTAATAAGATGATTTCTGGAAAAGCTTCTGAGATCAGTAGGGTGGCAAAGAAGTCATCAAATAATAGGGGGTTCTCCTATCTCTTCTCTAAAGCTGAAAGGTCCAAGTATTATCAGTGTGGGCACTGTAAAAAAGATGTCCTCATCAGGTAGAAACAATCATTCTGTTACTTTTGAGTGCTTTATCATTTTAAATAGTGCCTTAGTTTCGATGTTATTGGAGGAAAGTAATAACAGAACATGCATTTCTAACATTCCCTGTCCAAATATAATTTCAGTCATTTTCAAAATTGCTGATAATTAAGAAGATTGAGAAGGAAAAAGAACTTCAAAAAGTATGTCGTGTTGGATAGTAGAGCATGCTAAAAAAGTTGATGTTTTAACCTTATTTTTCTATTCTTTTTCATGATAATGGTGCTGATTAAATTTGGGATGGATTGTATTTTTCCTTAGGGGAATAGAATTATTTAGTCGACCCATTTGTTACTCAAGCACTATAAGGGAAATGCTGAGGAAAGACTAGTAATAATTGCTTCATTAAGAAATGACTGAAAACTTTAATGTTTAGGGATCTTGATATTTCTTTGTTGCTAGCATGAGTAAAAATTGAAAACAAATTGGTTGATGTGGTCTTTGAAAGAAGAAAATAGTAAAATTGTCATAGGATGTCGCACTAGTTTGTCTAAAATTCAGTCACATGCATCGTATCTAAATATTTTTGCTTTCGTTCACTTTTTTTAGATTATAAATAAATGAACATTTTTATTTTTTAAATTTAAGCGACTTAATAATAAATTTAAGAATATAATGTTTTAGGATTATATTCTTAAATTTATTATTAACTTTCTTCTCAAGAAGAGATGCTATGTTTTTTTTTTTTTTTTTAACCTTTTCCAGTGAGAATTCTTTAAATTAAATAGTGGATCTTCCAAAACAAAAGCACTAGAATAAGTAAGATAAACTAAAACTATCTTAATGATTCTCAATTGATGCAATAAGTAATATGTAATTAGGATTAGATAACCAACTAAAATGATTTTGCTAGGATTTATGTTGAGCTCAATGATATTGAATGTTATAAAAGGATGACTTAGGAATAAAAAAACTTAATGTTTCGTTTCATCCAAAAATTGCTTTGTAGACATCCGTGTTTTATATACAAAATTGCAATATAGTAATATATGAAAAGTGAAAGCTATCTCTCAACCAAAGCAATAAGTAATGTAATTAAGAATACATGACCGATTAAAATAATTTTGCTAGGATTTTTCTTGAACTTAATAGTATGAAAAGTTCTAAAAGGACAATTTTAGAATAGAACAAAATTTAATGTGTCATTTCTTCCAAAAAAGGGTCATTAATGAACAGAGCTAGAGATCAGTTTTTGGTTTGAATATATGTTGAAGCATATACATTTTCATAGTTAAAGGCCTAACCATTAATGGGTTGTTGTTCATTGAATACCTTTTTTTGAATTAACTATGTTTTTGACTGTGTTTCTTTAATCAAATTGGCAGGGAAGCCGTTTGCTGTCAGTATTGTAAGGGTAAGTGGTTCTCTACTATAATAAAGTGTATCTGTCTTGTGCTTAAATGCGTGATTTGCTTTTACAAAGTGATTCTCTGTGTGCTTCATGGTATTGCTTTTATAAGCATCTCACTTCACACATGCTATTCTTTTCATATTTTTCACATTTCTGACTAGCTTGATATAATTTCAGGATTTTTTCATAAGAGGCATGTTAGAAAATCTGCTGGAGCAATCATTGCTGAGTGCACGTATACATGCCATCGATGCCAAGATTGCAAATTTAATTTTAATTCAAAAAGAGGGGGAAATGACACAAAACGAGGTAAAGGTGTCACAAAGGGGGGGAAGACCAACATAAAATGTGCAAAAAAACTTCCACAAAAAGGTAAAAAGGCCTCCACAAGTTGCAAGTCAGTGCGGTCAAAAGACAATAAAAAGTCACTGGCAGTACGAATATCACTGCGGTCACAGAAGGATAAAAAGGTTGCTGCTGCTGTGCCACTGCGTCGTTCACCCAGGAAAATAAAATATATTTCTGTCCAAAAGAAAAAGCCTGGCGGGTGCAAGAAAGGCAAACAGAAATCAAAGAAAGCACCTAAGAAAACAAAGAAAAGTACTTCTTGGCAGAAGAAGAGAACAAGGGCTTATCATAGTTACTGGCTTAATGGTCTTCGGTTGTCTAGTAAGCCAGACGATGAACGGGTGATGCAATTTCAAAGAAAAAAGCTTTTTCCCCTTTCTGAACATATGACTGTCTCCCCCAATCAACCGAAATGTCATCTTTGCTGTGAAGCTGGATATGCATCAAATTCAAACTATGTTGCATGTGAAATTTGTGAAGGTAATTAATTTTCAGCCTTCCTATTATTGTAAACACTGACTGTTGATGCATAAAAATTTCCTTCTTTATATTTTTTCATAATATTCTTTTCGAATAATTTATGCAGAATGGTTTCATGGAGATGCTTATGGACTTAATTCAGAGAACAAAAGCAAGATTATTGGATTTAGGTGTCATGTCTGCCGTAAGAAGAGCCCTCCTGTCTGTCCTAATATGGTGGCTACAAGAATTGATGAATCTCAATTGGCTGAGATGCAAAATAGTGTTAGGACTGAATCTTCTGAGGAAGTAAATGGCGCCTTCCTTTCTCCATGTCATGTAAATTCAAAAACTGAGTCTCCTTCAAGTGAAACTCATCAAGGTTCATTGGCTAATGACGAGTGCTTGCATAAGGAGCAATTAGGTACCAGTTTGAATACTACTCGGGCTCCCATCTTGGGATATAAATTGGAATCAAATGGGACTACCATATTTGAAGAGAATCTGATTATAGATGCGCGACAAATTTCTAACAATGAACTGAAACTGAACAGACTAACATCTGAAGAGAAAGTTATGTTGGAAAATAGTAGAACCAATTCAGGACATGATGCTCCTGCAACTGTAGCTGAGGAGGCAGAGTGCTCTTCCCATGATGTTCTGATGGTTTAATTTGAAACTAAATTGGCTTCCTTGGGTCGTAACAGAGCCCAGGATGATCTGGTGAACACAACGAACATTCCAAATTCAGTAGCAGTTGGAGCCTCGGCTGAGTTTCAACCAGAGATGATGGAGCAAAAACAACTTAGGTTAGATTTACAGTTTAACATTTAATTGGTGCAAGTAGACTGGGATTAGTGTAGGGGCTAGATTTGTTTGTAGGACTAGAATTACATGTAAATTTTCTGTTGTTGAAATCATGGAAGATTTTTAAACAGTACATGGGAATGATTCATTTCCAACAGAAAAATAAAATGCTTATTTGTGCCTATGAATCATAATGCGCTGATCCATATGAAGATTTCTTCACTTATTGCATTGGATTTAAAGTTGAAAAAAGCGACAGGAGGCATGTCTGATAGAGGCTATGAGAGCTCCTGGCCAGCTTTTCTGGCAATTTACAACCCCACAGTATGCAAGTTGATGGGTTATCTAGAGGCCGGTCTTGATAACTTTACTTTTATTCCTCCAGAACCGGTTGGTTGCCAGGTTGCCCTGCCCTTAAAATGCAGGTGATTGTTACCTTTTAACTCCTTATCTTATTGTTGTTATTGTCAGTATTTTTGGTCTTGCAAGAGGAGTTCTGCATTTGGTGGTGTATTATTGCTAATTGGTTGTTGTCTTCTATGTTTAGTTTTGAATTCTGATTAATGTCAGATCATTGATTATAAATTTTTGCTGTACCTCTTTTTATTCTCTCTCACTTGCAGTACACTTAGCTATGTATGGTCTTAAATAGAGTCATGCAATATAATCCTTATAACTGGCCAAAAATAGCGGAAATTGGCTTAGTTTGTTGTTGCAGGTGCTGATAGTGATGGTGCATTTTTTCTTTTTTTAATTTAAAGTTTTGTAGAAACTCTCTTGCAAGGTTTGCTTCTCTCAAGTTGTCATTTTATCTTGCTCTGTTATACGATGATTAGTATTTGATTGTAGTTGATGTTGTAGCTGATTGCCTTGTAGAACATTTTATTTATGTTATCACCAGTAATGCAGATCCTAGAAGCTAGTTTAATTTCCTTAGATTCGTTATTATTGTACTTATTTTTATGGGAAGGGGCTACTTTTTTTATTGCATGATTTCTCTGGTGTCATAAGTTCCCTAAGTTAGCACTGTAGCAAAGAACAACCCGCCGATGTGTGATAGCCTGATTAGTGGCCGGTACTAGTCAGCAATGAGCTTTATCTTGTCTGCAACTTGTATTACCTACTGCGTAGTTGGAAGATTTTTTCTCTTTTAGAAAGAAAAGGGGAGGGGGGGTTGTTTAGAAGACAAAATGTAGAACATGAGAGATTTATAGCCCCTCACTATGTTCCATCTCCCTCCTTTTCTGGTAAAACTAGCATCTTTGGGCATTTTGCTTTTCTTAAATCTTGTTATGAATCTGAATCTTGTGTTTCTTGTAGGTGCCATTGCCAAGGCGGATAAAGTTTACCATGATGAAGCTGCAGCGACTTCATTGCAACCTTGATCTTAGGTAGGTATCAACAATTCAGGCAATACTTCAGAAATGCAATAATGGGTTAAAAGTTTTCCTTTTCCTTTTCCTCTTCTTTTTCCTTGAATAGGTGGGCAGAGAAGTTCATGCTTTGGGCTGTTAATTCAAGAGAAGGAAGCTGAGACAGTGAATGAAAGTTCAACAAAAGCCAGAGTTACCGTTATTGTTATATTATTTCTGAGGGTAGCACAAATTTTACATTGTTTTCCGTTTTATTTTATTCTTAACTTAAACATTGTTTAAAGGTGTTACTAAATTTGAAGCTCCATTGTCTCCAGCTCAATGTTAATATCCTTTCCATTGGTTTGGAGGAAGATACTGTATACATATAATCCCTAATTCAATCATGTGATTAAAATTTAAGAAAAAAATTTGCCATAATTTGAATTTTAGGTTTGTTAAATATTATTTTTTAAGATGATTATATTAACAGATTAAATTAAGTTTGGGGTTCTAATTATTTATTTACTTATTTGAGAGGAGCAATTTGAATTTAATTTTTTTAAGTAAGATAAACATGCGTCTATTATTATTATTATTTTAATTTAATTATTTGTTCGTTACATGATAATGCTATTATTGTACAGCTAACTCGTAAATTCAATTACATGTTAGCTGAGTACAAATTTTAAATAAAAAGTATATTTGTGAAAATATTTCTGCCACGCTCTGCGTAGAAATATGAAAACTTGTGGTTGCAATATGTTTATTTATTGAAAAAATAAAAAGGTTGGAATGTGCTTGGTACGCGCGTAACATAGCGCGTGGTAGAGAAAGAGCCGTAGCAGCAAGGGAACAGTTAAAAAGGAGACTGGAAGAATAGAACAGAAAGAATCTATTAGGAGATTATGTAACAGATAAGAAGAAACAGAGTAAGAAAAAGAAATCACTGCTTGGATGTTGGAATCAATGGCATTTTCAGTTTTTGCTACGAATTCTTCTTCTCTTTCTCTATCTCAGCTTCAGCTTCAGCTTCAATCATCTTCTCTCATATTTAAGCCATACCCTTTTCCCTTCTTCCCTTCTTCTCCTCGTTTGAACCCAAAGAAACGGTTTCAAAGTCACACCACCACTCGCTTCCGTCGTGTTCTTACTACTTCAAATGCTGCCGTCGACTCAAGCAATGGGGCAGTCATTGCCTCTGACTTTGAGCATCACTCTTCTTCTTATGGAAGACAGTACTTCCCTTTAGCTGCTGTTGTTGGCCAGGTCTCTCTCTCTCTCCTTTTTTATATATGGAAGGAAAGGAAATGCTTTAGAAGTAGTACAAAAATGGGTCATTAATTTTGTATATATTTGTTAACTATCTGGCTCAATTACTTTGATTCTTCATTTTAATGTCTTAAAAGTAGAAATGGGTTTGAACAAAATAAATGAATATCGTCATGTCAAATGCATACGCATATCTGATTCTTGATTAACCGTTATCGCAGGATGCCATTAAAACTGCACTTTTACTTGGGGCAATTGATCGTGAGATTGGAGGGATTGCTATCTCTGGGAGGCGAGGAACAGCCAAGACTGTAATGGCACGTGGGTTGCATGCAATTTTGCCACCCATTGATGTAGTTGTTGGTTCAATAGCAAATGCAGATCCAGCCTGCCGGGAGGAGTATGAACTGTGAACTCTTACCTGTTATAATTACATTAGTACTTTGATTTTTCTAAATTGCATGAGTTTTTCGCCTCTAATAGAACATAGATTTGTACGTTATATTGTTAGGGTCATGAAGCAAAACACATGGCGTGAGACAGAATGGAAAGTCTAAACAAGAGTGATATTAATTTTTTTGTTGTTTTTCCAAATTTTTGCTGCTGCAGTCCCTATTGAGAACATATTTGAGCCTTAATGTGTGTTGTGGGGCTAGAACGATTAATCTAGAACTTCTTACTTAAGCTAAAAGCTTGCTTTATTTTTGTGATTTTCGATATGTGAAATAACTGATTCAACAATAGTTTATGCATTTATTCCTTTCAAGATAGTGACCTGGTCATCATAATTTCTGAAGGTGGGAAGATGGTTTAGGTCAGCAAGCCGAGTATGATTCTGATGGTAATGTGAAGACTCAAGTTGTCAGATCTCCTTTTGTTCAGGTACATTTAATTCAAGAAATTCTTTGTTATTGAGTTTTGTTTTTATTGTCTAAATACCCTTGTCCGCTTTTGTTCCAGATTCCACTTGGAGTCACAGAAGACAGACTCATTGGATCTGTTGATGTTGAGGAGTCTGTGAAAGCGGGAACAACTGTTTTTCAACCAGGCCTTCTGGCTGAAGCACATAGAGGTGTACTATATGTTGATGAAATTAATCTTCTGGATGAAGGTATTAGTAATTTGCTTCTGAATGTACTGACCGAAGGAGTTAATATTGTGGAAAGAGAGGGAATCAGCTTCAAGCACCCTTGCAAACCGCTCTTGATTGCCACTTATAATCCAGAAGAGGGTGCTGTACGGGAACATTTATTAGATCGTATTGCAATTAACTTGAGGTACAGACCTTGTTTTAAGATGATGGAATGAGTTTATTAGTTTTTACACATCTTTCCCATTCTATTAATGGCACACTTCCTCTGCAGTGCAGATCTTCCAATGAATTTTGAAGATCGTGTTGCAGCAGTTGGAATTGCAACAAAATTTCAGGAAGCTAGCAATGAAGTTTTTAAAATGGTTGAGGAAGAAACAGAGTACGCAAAGACTCAGGTAACCATGCATAGATGGCGTGTTATAAGTCAGATTTTGAATCTTGTAAATACAATGAGCCTTCTGAAAACCCACCTTCCAGTAAGATGAGAGATGAATGCATAAACTTTGAGGGTTGACTTTAATGAAATTTATACATAAGAAAATCGTTTGCTTTGATGTATTTACTTCTTCCATTTCTTCCCAAAAAGCTTGTGTGCCTAACATGGTGCTTAAATTCAACATATTGTTCATAGACCAGAAAATGCTTAAGATGTAGAGTTTTCTGCTGATGTAATGTCACTTGCTTGATCATCATCTTTTAATTATAAATAGTACCCAAGAACATTCAAGCACTGTTTTCCACTGTATAAAACTAAATCGACCTTTCTTAATGTTGACAAACATTGACCTCATAATTATATAGAAAAGAGTTCAAGGGATCTTTTTGTAAAAGTTAAATGAGGAAAAAGAAGAGTATAAATTTCTTTGTCATTCATTTTAAGAAAGTCTCTATGATATTTGTGGGCTTGACTTTTTTGTTGTTCAAATAGTTGTTGCTAGTGAAATACAAACCCCTTAGAAGTCCTCTGGTCAGGTTTCGAATTTTTTTAGAAATGGGGCAATTCATCCTAAAATGTACTCTAAGTGGTTGAAATGTCAACTCATTTTGCTAGTAAAGTTTGACAACTTTGATATCACCTTATCCATTCAGCAGTTCAGCTGCATGTTTACCATTAACCTGTGATACTAGTTGAATTTGCTTCTCCATTATAAGTTTTATTTATTCAATGTGTATCTGTCTTTTGTTCTTCTCAAACTTTTTTATGTAGAAAGATGAACGTTATTTCTCTTGTTCATTTATTTGCAGATCATTTTAGCAAGAGAGTATTTGAGGGATGTTACAATTAGCCGAGAACAATTAAAGTACTTGGTTATGGAAGCCCTTCGAGGTGGTTGCCAGGTGCTGAGATTGAAATCCTAGTTTTAACATTAGTGTATGGTTTTTATTCTTCAACCACTATAGATAACAAAAATTACTCTTAATTTGTCCCTTATCAATCCTCTTATGCTGTACGCTAAAAATTCTGAGAGTTTGATGAGGAATCAGCATCGCACATGCCTATAAACTAACTGAGCTGAAGCCATCAAGTCTCCAATCCCAAAGCTTTAGACAAATAGTTCTTTCCTGTCCAGTTCCATCCTGGGAACAAGGATTTAGTAATATTTTATTGAGCAAATATATTTAAGTTTTGTCAAGATAGTAATATTTTACTTATGATTATAAATACTGCTGCTTAAATTCTTACCAGGGACATGGAAGCTACTACTTTCCTGCTTCATATTAATTTATGTAGCTCAAAATTTCCAAAACTGACATGGCATCACTGGGAAATTCTTTGGAGTGATCATATTTTGAGAAACAAACATCACAAATATTTTCTTGTTGGTAGAGATTTGTGGGGGGGGGGGGTTGTTATCAAACATAGGATGTTCAAGAACAAAAGATGGAAAAAGAGAAAACAACTCAATGAAACATCTGACATAGACTAGCAAAGAATAAGGAGAGGACTATCTCACTAGGGGATTATCTTTTTGGAACAGAAACCATTAAAAAGGGGCATATGTTGCTTTCAGTGACCGATGCAAGCCATTCTTAAGCAAAAAAGGAGGGATGATATTTGGCACCTGAGCTTTTAGCTCAGTGGTAAATGCATGTATCCCCTACTCAAAGAGCTGGATCCGATTCTCCCTTCCCCATAAAAGAAAAGGCGTAATGCACAATTCACTGATTTTTTCTAATTGAAGATCATTGATGGATTTTAAGATATTATGCAATCATGGAATTGAAAATTAATTAATACTCAAACAATTTACAGGGACACAGAGCTGAGCTATATGCTGCCCGGGTTGCAAAATGCTTGGCTGCTTTGGAAGGACGTGAAAGAGTTAATGTAGATGACCTGAAAAAAGCCGTTAAGTATTCTTACTATGATTTTGCAACCATACGCAACAAATTGTCACAGCAATTCGACCCCTGACCTGTTTATATGTTTCTTGTTGCTGTCTAAATTTTTTAATCAATCTTGCCTGTGATTGCTTAATTACATTTTATAGAATATGTTGTTCTTGTTACTTCTGCCATTTCCTAGTCGCAGCCAACTTTTGAGCATATTTTTGTTTCAGATTGAGGGACATGATATTTATGATTGCAGGTTTTGTTGAAATATCTGCTAATCACTGGTTACATATCTGCTTGATTCTATTACTTTTATTTTGGAGAATAATGTATATACTTCCACCTGTTCTCCACTTATTTTTATTAATTCTTTTGGTGATTGGTTGGGGAGAAATATCGAAGTTAAAAAGGAAAAAGTATCTACCTTAGACATAGCTACTGGTTTTTGTCTGCATCATGAAAGCAGAATACAAATAAATTTGTGTTGATGTATTGTATAATACAGGTGGAGCTTGTCATCCTCCCTCGTTCAATCATTACTGAAAATCCACCAGATCAACAAAACCAACAGCCTCCACCTCCACCTCCCCCTCCACAAAATGAAGAATCTGGGGAGGAGCAGAACGAGGAGGAAGATCAAGAGGTATGTTAACATTAACATTTCAACATTAAGGACCAAACTTTGCAGTTTCTTAGTAAATTTTGTTATTCCTTTGCAGGAATTGTTATTTATAATCAACTAAAATCTGCCAAAGTCCTTATCATTGAGGACTTGGTCACCATGTTTTCTTCTATTTAAAAATTAACTATTTTACTGATGAATTAAGCCTACTTAACGTTCAAGTATGTTCTCAACCAGGATGACAGTGATCAGGAGAATGAGCAACAACAGGAGCAAATACCTGAGGAATTTATCTTTGATGCAGAAGGGGGTTTGGTGGATGAGAAATTACTTTTCTTTGCACAACAAGCACGGAGGCACCGGGGGAAAGCTGGAAGAGCAAAGAATGTTATATACTCAGAGGATAGAGGCCGATATATAAAACCAATGCTCCCGAAGGTTAGTCCTGTCCTTCCCTGAACCATGCAAGTTTGGATAAAGGGAATAGTTGGCACTAGCTTCCAAAACCTCCTGATTCATAATTAAAAATATTTTTGAAGTATATAATGACCGTCAAGATATTATATTTTGCAAACTGAACTTCCATTATATTCTGTGTCCCCTATGAAGTGTATTACATTTCTATACGTCCTGTTAAATTCTACCTTTTTCATGTATAGTGTTTTCCTCTTTCAATTGAATATATTGCTTTGTCAGTTGGGCATTGAAATCTCAAAATGAGCCGGTGACTTAGCAATCTTCTTCACTCTTTCCAATCTTTTGTACACTAATTTTGCCCTCTTTTAACTTCATTTTTGGAATAAGCTGCGGTGTTTTTCCCACAGGGCCCCGTGAAGAGACTAGCTGTTGATGCAACACTTAGAGCTGCTGCACCATATCAAAAGTTGCGTAGGGAGAGAGACATTCAAAAAAGTAGGAAGGTTTTTGTGGAGAAAACGGACATGAGGGCTAAAAGAATGGCAAGAAAAGCGGGAGCATTGGTATTGATGAGCTACTTCTATTGCTTAAATCTGTTAATATTATTATATTTATTTATCAAGAAATACCTTCAATTGGTTCTATGTATTTGAGTGTTCTTTTCACCTCAGGTTATATTTATTGTAGTATATACTCTTACAGGAATTTTGATGATAGAAATTTCTGAACTTCCATTGGCATGATCAATTAACACAGAAGTTTACCATATACCATGAAACATAACAGAATCATTTTTTAAGATGCTAAATGCCTGCAAATTGTTTAGACATAAGGATTGGCGTAAAATTAATGTGGAAATGATTATTTGAGCAAATTGGTTTAACTGTGATCTGTCAAAGAGAGTAAAAAAACCCCATTGAAGTACTGGTGAAGTTTTCTTATGCTTGGGTTCATACAAATATATTTCATTTCAGGTAATATTTGTGGTTGATGCAAGTGGGAGCATGGCATTGAACCGAATGCAAAATGCTAAAGGCGCAGCACTTAAGTTGCTGGCTGAGAGTTATACAAGCAGAGATCAGGTAAACTAGAGACAAATTTGTTCTGAACTTTCAAGCATACAAACCTTGCTAGTTATTAATTCATATTAAGGGCTCAGTTAATGCACATAACTGTTCTGCAAAAACAAAACTACTAAAGCTGATGTAAAGAAACCATCATGTACATTTCAGGTAAGTAATTTGTTTATATTTATTGGTAATGTTGAATAGGTCTCCATCATACCTTTCCGTGGAGATGCTGCCCAAGTCCTTCTGCCTCCTTCCAGATCAATTGCAATGGCAAGAAAACGTCTTGAGAGACTTCCATGCGGTGGTGGCTCTCCCCTAGCTCATGGTTTAAGCATGGTAAGTATTTATAGTGAATCCCTCAATTTGTGGCACAGATTTTAACAAAATGATTCTCTGTAACTTGTAGTTAATGACATACATTGCCCTTGCCTTATTATTCTGCATCTGCTATCTGTCGTTACTACTTGTAGCTAATGACTTTTACAACATGGCTGGTTGTAATATTGTTGCCTCCTTATTCTGAAATGCTTCTTTTCTGAATGATAACTCTATGTTTTTCTAAGCTTTTCAATGCAATTCTTTTAGGTGCATATTTGGATACAAATTCACAGTTTCCTTTTCTAATTACTTCATACACTTTGATATCGTCAGGCTGTCAGGGTTGGGCTAAATGCAGAGAAAAGTGGTGATGTGGGACGTGTAATGATCGTTGCAATAACTGATGGAAGAGCCAATATATCATTGAAAAAATCCACTGACCCAGAAGCTGCTGCTTCTGATGCCCCTAGACCCTCAGCACAAGAGTTGAAGGTAAATTATGGCACTATAACTAGGTACATAGCATGATGACTGTAGGTAAGAAACCTGATATTCTACTATTTAGCCAAATATAATTGCTACAATGATAATATACCCACTGTTTTAGGCTTTAATTGGACATGGTAGCAATATATGACCATCCCTACAAGCGAAAAGACCATATATTATTCTTATTTATTAGTGATATGAGCTGAAAGACAAACATTACGGTTTCTGCATGTTATCTAGTTTTTGACCAAATGAACTTCGTGCATTTTATGTATATAAATATTGCAGGATGAGATTCTTGAAGTGGCTGGGAAAATATACAAAGCAGGAATGTCCCTTCTTGTCATTGACACAGAAAACAAGTTTGTTTCAACTGGTTTTGCAAAAGAAATTGCAAGAGTAGCTCAAGGTGCGCATACTGAAACTTCTATTCTTTTATGCATGTGGAATGTAATAAAATACTGTCATTGTTTTGATCTTTTAGGGAAGTATTATTACTTGCCAAATGCTTCAGATGCTGTCATCTCAGCTACAACAAAGGAAGCATTATCTGCTTTGAAAAGTTCATGATTCGGAAGCGTTATCAGCTTTCACCAATTCATGATGTTTATAATCAACTCAATTGTGAGTCCGTATACTTTGTTTCCTGCCAAAATCAGACCAAGAAAACTCATTGAATCTTGTCTGCATTTTTGTGTTCTCTAACATCTTTCCCTTGTATGTTCTGTCATAAAACAAACTGATTATTCTTCATTGTTGCAGAAAGTGATTACAATGAAATCATCCGAAGTTTTTTTCTTGTTTGCCTACCTTTCTTGAATTGGTTTATGATGATAGTAAACTAAACTGTTTCTGCATAATCAAGTACTCAATACTTATAAAACATGTACCTTTTTACATTTTTGGCAAAAAAGTTGGATTTTCCATTCCAAACTTTTATTCAATGTTCTGTTTATTTCTCTAACTTTTATGTATTTTTAATGGAGTCCTCCGGACTCTTACTACTATAATTAATATTGAATTTTGTCACTCTTATTTTGATTTCATTGAATTTTGTTACTATACTTTCATTTTTCATTGAAATTTACCATTTTATTTTCATTTTTATTATTTTTGAATTAAAGCTAATGAAAATAAAATATTTCGTAAAATAATCTCTTAATATATCTAAATAAATTTTGAATAAAGCATAAAATTTGATATAGATATTTCACTTGTAATAAAATTATAAATACGGGTTGTCATGCGGAAAGAAGCTATTATTTTTTAATCAAATTTAATACTAAAATAAGCTTTTCAAATATCAAATTTTAAAATATATTCTTTTAGAATTTAATTTTAATTTATCAAAAAAAAAAAAAAAGAAGAAGCTTGATCAAAAGAAAAAGTTATACGGTTTTGGTCAATATAATGTGAATATTGTTTACCGAAGACAGTTATATCCTAGAACTTAGTCAAATTCTTTTCTATTTTCTATTTTGTTATTTTTTATTTGATAATTAAAATTATTTTTTAATAAGTTTAAATATAACATTAGAAAATTACTTACTTGACTTAAAAATGCATTTCAAGGTTGAACCTCAAATCAAAGCAATTTTAGTACAAATTTCATTTAATTTAATAAAATCACTTAAATTACATATATTATATGTAATTAGTAGTTAACTATTTATTTGATTTGGCAAAATGTGTAATTTTTTTTAACTAAATTGCTCTCCTAACTTACATTAAATGTTTGTGCTCTAAACAAATTAATTTAAGTATGTTCCAAAACAATTAAGCGTTTATTTTTAGAGTTTATGATTAAGAGATTGACACATATTTTATATTTTTAATATATTTTATAAAATATGTGTTATTTTATTAATTTTATTTGTGAAATTTAAAAACTCCACTACCAAAAAAGGGTAGAATCGATCAATCCCATCACTTCTCAATCTCAAAAAATGCCTTGGATTACATTGCTCTTCAAACAGTAGCCAGCCACTCTCATCTTCTTCATGGCCTTAGCTCTACCTTGGTTGCAATCAGGTTGAGATCAATTTAGTCTGGGTGCAATCTGCCAATGCTGTTTTTTAGCAGATAAGGGTATATCCTTCAGGCAACAACCATTGCATCGTTTTCTTAATGAACAACATCAAATATTGAACAATCCAACCAATAATCAGAAAGAATAATTTCAATGGTGCTTACTAATCTGAAATATATAACAGTGGGGCAAGTGCCTGGAGCACGTTGGAGAGGGAGAGAGGGCTCTTCAGGATTCTTACATGAAACAAATTAAATTACACTTTCTTGAGTTTCTTCCATGACACTCCATTACATAATTGAGAATGTGGGTATGGCACGCAGTTAAAGTGGGATCAAATGGTGAGAAGCTAGTTTACCAATGTTTAAAAGTACAACTAAATAACAAGAACTCAATAAACAATGAGACAAAAGGGTCAAGAGATAAAAGAGAAAACCAATTGTGTTACCCATCTGGACTTGAGTTTTTCTTGTGCTTTCCTTGCCTGTCATTCACTTTCTCTACCTTTCCACTTCCGTTATTATGGTTGCTGACAGAACCCTCTTGAGCACTGCACATTTGAGACTTCAACTTAAACCCAAATTTCTTTGAGACATTTCCCCAAGTACTAGAACCTTTTACCCTGCCTAGCTTCTCAATTTCTTGCCTCATGTTCGAGCATTCCTTCTCAAGCTCAGAAACCCGCATTCTCATGTTATCCATGCCTACCTTCAAAACCTGATTTTCTCTCACAGCTGAGGCCCAGCCTCCTTCAGTAGACCCTGCAAACCCGCTTCTTAACTGTCGCGATCCATCAAGATTATCAGAAACCAAAAAGCAACCAGCAATTGAAGTCTTAAGCTGAAGCTGCTCAAAGAACAGGACTTGCACAATTATTCTTAGTGGAAGTCTCTCATTCTGTGCAGCATGGGTACATGCTTCCAAGGAGAGCTTCTGGCAGTCCATCAGACGACATAGTTGTTCTCTGTCAGATTCTGACAACCATGGATGTGACTGCAAGTTTAATAAACATAGGAACATTAACAAGTTTTAACAAAAATTATAGCAATTCTTTTTTGTTATTTTTTTTTCTTTTAAAATTACTTTCTCTAAGATACAACAACTGATTTTAAGAACAAGGATATTCTATGCATATAAGGTTTGGATTTTTGGCCCATTAACTTTGTTTCAAGCAAATAGAAGCAACTTAGGTTAAAATGCCGAATAAAATTACCCAGACAAAGAACCAAGGATAGAAACATCTCGCATTGAGAACTTTTATCTCTTGAAATAATGGGGAATCCTAACCTAAGTTAAAGCTATCACATCATTCTCAAAACATCTTAGGAGAGACTGTAAGGTCAACTTGGACGGAGGTTAAAACATATGAATGTTGCATTTGAGCACAACTGCTGCAGGGTTCCTGGATTAGTGAACCAGATGCAGCATATCAAACAGAACAAAAACAACATTAGTAGCAATTATATGCATTAAGGATAATACCTTCAGATAAATGTCTATTGCACGATATAGACCATCATCCAAGGGCCTGGCATAGTCAGGAACAGAAGCAGCAAGAGCCTGAAACTTGGGGACCTTTAAATTAATGTCAGGGGCAACCTCAGCAAGGTACCCATCAATTAGCTTGGCTACCATTGTAATTGGTGTTAATGAAGGTGAGCCAATAATCTGACCATCATCAACCGAACATGGAGAAGCTCCACCAGTGATCTGGTCCATGGAAAGAAAATGCTCAAGAATTCGCTGGACGCAGTCAACATTGTAAAGTGTTTCCATGGAATAAGAGAAATTAGGCATCAGTAGATCATCCAGAGTTGCTTGATCAAGCTGCAACCCAATCCTTTTCTCAAAGTTAGACATACAAGAGGGGCTTGCTCGAAGAATCATGGCTATTCGAAGCAGTCCAAAGAGAAACTTGGTTGGGACAAGGCCCTTCTGAATAGGAAGTAACCTGTCAATCTCCTCCAGCAAAAGCTTCTGCTCTTCTTCTGATGGAGAAGCCCCTAAGGCCAGAGGTGCAAGACGGGCACTAGAATTAGAATCATTAGCACCCTGACGCCTGTTCAAACCAGGTAGGTATTTTTTTCCATAAAAAGTAAGAGACCCAGCAATAATCTCCTGTCTGATACCACGAGACTCCATAACTGCAATCAATCTCTTATAGAGACGTAAACTTAAAGTTGATGCATCCTCATACCACCAATCTGAACTTGTATTTTTTGGTCTAGCCCCTGTACTTATCCCATTCCACAACACACTTCCGCCAGGACTCTGCATAGGACCACCATGTTCCATTATAGGCCACCCAAATAGGTTGGGGTCAGTAGATGCCTTCATGGCTAATGATTCAATGCACCTTTTTGTAATGTTCAGTTCATCAGCAAAAGCGATAATATCATCACATTTTTGAAGTGCTCCTAGAGAATCTTTCCAATTTCGGAGGACTACTTGATTAAGAAAGGTTTCAGTCTGTGTAATAAGATTACCTTCCCCATATTCCTCAGTCATTTCTAGATGCTTCGCAGCACATCGAAGGTACACAACATTTGAAGCAGTGAGTTCAAGTTTCACGCCATAGCAGAACTTGGCCACAAGTTCAAAAGTTTTAGCCCCTCCAGGAATGTCAGGAAGGCATATGGAACTTTTTTCTTCTTCTTGTTCAGATACTTCTGCAATTAATCTTTCCATAACCCCACTTCTGGAGAGTAATGGGAACTGCACCAAATGATAGTTAAGATGAGTAAGAACTTAATGATGTACAGTTATTTGACAATAGAAACTTCATTTCACCATGCACAGGGCAAAAGGTACAAGTTCAAGCAAAGGACTTTAGTGCTCGTCCTTAAAAGGAAAAGCATGGAAACAGAGGAAAAGTGACACATCTCAACTCATGAGAAACCAATATATGTGGTCTCAGAAAGATGGTGCAGGGCATGGCAAGAGAATTTTTATCTTTATTTTTGCAGAAGCTGTAAAGTAAAAGGGAAGATTTTATACATACTAAATTCAGTGAATTTCAACAAATACAAGAGGGTAATTGACCAGTAAGCACACACCAATGCAGTATATATATGAATAAGGGAAAATTACCTTGTGAAGGTGAAAGGACATTTCTCCAACTTCAACAACAATATCACTAGGAAGTCCAGTTGTGCAGAACCTATAAAAAATACATGTATATTAAGCTCAATATAGAGAGAAATATAATAAGAATCTAACATGCACAGAGGGATGCAAGGTGCTTAGGATCAAACTAGAGAAGCTGGGTCCCCTATTAATAAATATTCTTATTAGAGAAAAGTCATCCATCATTCATCCTTAATAAAAATGTAACGTAATATGAAAATGGTTCCATCTATCATACACATGAGATACTAATAACCCAATTTATTGGGCATTAATGAATCACTTTTTCAAGAGTGTCCTCATCTAAATGCTGGGCTTGCCACATTTACAATCACCAGGATGAGAAATAATACAACATTCTCATTTTGATTGATGCCATTATTGTTAGCAAGCTTTCAATATTGATAAAAAATGTCAGATCTATTACTTCTGAAATGGAATATGAACATTGAAAATAGACATGATATTAAACTGGTCCTTTAGGAAGGAAAAATAAAGAAAAAAAAAGTAAATGATCTTTTATAAACTTAGTACTATTAACCTAAACATGGTATTACACTGGCCTAGTCCAGTGGTCATACCAAGTCACTTATTCTATTATATTCCACTAAATGCATAATATAACATTCTACATGTAAACGTAAGGAAATATAAACAAAAAGGATAAGATTAGATAAAGGTTTAATGTAAGTATGAAGGTCTCCTATCACATGTACATCCCCCCTTTTGTTGATTGTTTAGCCAGTACATTCACATGACAACCTCAATCATAACTACTTTATGTTAAAATGCTTAAGAAACAAAGTGTAGCTTTTTTTAATTAGCCAACAGAAATGTGGTCAGTTGGTAGAATGCTAGACTCTTAGTACCAGTGGTCAGGGTTCAAATTCTGACAACCTCAAATCCCAAAAATAAAAGAGTGCATTAGTAGGACAAGACTTATCATCTATGTTACATTCATGAAAGAGTCAAAAATAAATTATTCGTGAGTTACAAGATTGTTGATGATAGGCAAGCTACTCATCTTCTATAAATTGAAGCATTAATCAAGTGAAGTTACTTCAACAAAAAACCAATTAGCTTAATGAAGTCTATTAACCTGATACTAACTTCACAAAGTTCAGTTGAGTAAACAACTTTTTAACAGTATTTGTACCAACCTAATGAAGTCCTAAACAATTAATTGATTTTAGTATGAAAACTTGACTTTCAGACAAGGAGTATGAAACACAAAATTGTGGACCAAAAGCAATATAAGTGCAGGTGAGCTTTCCTTATCAAGCAAAACTAACTTAGTCGCCCGAATCAGCACCAAAACATGCATATATAAGTGTGTCTCTTGATGCATATACATGCAAATTCAAACATAGAAGTATCTCTAACAATTTTAACTAAAACTAAATGCTAAAATGAGAGAAAAAGAGCACACTTCACACATCCACGAGAAGATTAAAACGCAGTAGAGCTAAAGAAAAAATAATAAAAATAATCTTAAAATAGTGAATGAAAGAACATATGTAGGCAGAGAGAGATGGAGATGTAGTTGAATTGAAGAGACCAGGCACATACCACGCCTGCCCTTGCCTTTGAAATGCATCAGTTTTGGATCCCAGTTTCATGCAAGCCATTTTCTCGCAGTGGAAGAAATACCTTCAGCAGCAGAACTCCAAACAGGCTACTCCAGAATCCCAACGACAAATCCTTTAACCCTGTATCAAAACTGGAAACTCAAGAACGCCTTTGTTTATGGCGATATACCAGTAACGGGCCTCAAAACAGGGCTCTTTCTAAATCTAAAACGAAAACCCAGCTTTTCTTTAACCCCTTAAACCACAATCCTCACACCAAAAAACTCCAACTAAATTGCTCAAACCAGCTTTTTCTCAAAAGTCAAACCTTGAAAATAATCAAAATGTAGTTTCTTCTTGAACATGTAGATCACAAAAACCCCACTAAATATTTCAAAGAAACTTGCTTTAAATTCATCACCAGATTCGTTCAATGTATCCCATTCACAAAAAGGCTCCCAAACCCACTTCAAAAACACCTTCAAATCCCTGCCTAAAACCAGAGACTCCCCTAATCAAACAGCAATTTGAAGTTAGCTTTTTAGGTCAACTCCTCCAATTCTTAGCCTTTCAAAACAAAAACTCACCAGCCCAAATGAATAAAACTTTCTGCTACTAATTTTTTTATCAGCCCCTAAAAACCCATAAAAACCCACACCAAGAAAATTCCAAAGTTTGAAAGCAAAGGACCAAAAACTACTCAATACCTTACAAAAGAAAAAAACAAAACAAAACAAAAGACTTCAGTAAGTTAGGTTTTTTAGTGTGCTTTTTTTTTCCGGTAATAGCCTATAAAAATGATAATAATTCATTGCCTTTGAAGCTTTTCAAAGCCATGATGATGATTGCTACTATATAGAAATGCAATAAAGATAACCAAAGCATGAAAAATAAAATAAATAACTGAATAATATAGGGTATTAATAATGGCAGCTCTGAAACCAAACGCTTCCCACATGCATTCATGTGGGACCCTTTGCCTTGGAACACACTCATTGGTTTTCTAGAACTTAGTTGCATAGAATCTTTTTGTAAATTAAAGTTTTGTTTTGTTAATATTCTCTAAAGTATATTTAACTTCAAATGAAATATGAAAAAAATTTTATTTGATAAACATAAAAAAAAATTGAACACTTGAGTTTGAATAAAGCAATTGGCCCCATTATATATTTGATAAATATAATTTTCATTTGTATAATCCATTACTAACAGTAAGGAGAATCTTTTCTATGTTTCTTAATTTGATAACCTTTGAGATTACAGATATCTGCCTTTTGTCCAGCTAAGCCATGTGGATCCGTTACATAGGTTTCACATCAAAATTATAAATTATCACTAATTAATACATAATTAAATAATTAAGACCGCCCATACCTATAATTAATTTTTTTTAAAGGCCAATAAAAAATGGGGATTTATTAATAATGAAAAAGAAGTTTTTGGCTGTGCATGCGAGAGAGGCGTCAGGGGTGACCTTGGTCAAAGAAGGTCAGTTACAGCCTACAGGAACAGAACAGTTCATTTAAGATAAACAAAGGGTAGGTTGGGAATTTTGCTTTTAAATTGTTTTTAACTTGAAAAAAATTTACAAAGGATGAAAGGGATGTATCTATTGAATTTTGATTTTTAAATTTATTATATGTTATTAGATTTATTTAAAGGTTGAATTTTTATTCAAATTTAAAAATTTGCCTAAATTTTGAGAGAATTTATATAAAAAATTAAGATCCATTAAATAAATTTAAATATAATTTTTAAATTTATTTAAATTTTTATTTCAGTATTTTATTTTTTATTATATAAATTAAGCTTAAGAATTGATTTTAACATTTATTTTTTAATTTTAATAGACTTAAAAAAATTTGAGATCTTAAATATCATGTTGGGTTAGATTTAAATAAACATATAAACTATTTGTATCAAATATAAATCTAACTTATAACTAATTTAATTTATAAATATTTATAAATATTATTTTTTTTAAAATAATTATATTAATCAATTAAATTAAATTTTTGATTCAATGAAAACATCACAATTTTTTTATAAAAGATATTGAATGATAAAAAAATTAAAAATTATAAGTGTTAGGCAAGAAACTTACCTCCTAAAAATAAATAAATTTTTTATCTTATTACATATTTAATTAAAAATAATATTATGCGTTTAAACTCTTGTAAATCTATAATATCTAAATGAAAACTCTTAATCTTCAAAATAATTAATAAAATAATAAATCATTTAAATTAAGCACAGATTCACAAATAAACCTTTTTGTCGTTACTTTGAAAAATTTTATAAAGTCAAAAGTTTGCTGCTAAATTAAGAGATTTGACAAGCAAGTACCATTTATAAATTTTTGTTTATGGTTCTCTTAATTTACCGGTTTATTTTTTTCTCTCACACAAATTAACTATAGTTATTAATTAGTACGTGGATCTCATCTAGAATTAGAGAAGGTAAAAAAATTCGTATCCGATAGGTTTTGATTCGATCCGATCTTTTAGGATCAATTTTTTTTTTTTTTTAAATCGAATGTCAAGTCGGATCGGGTAGCATTAAGACAAAGTCAGAGTCGGGTCGGGGTCGGGTTTTAGGCAAATCCGACCCTACCCGACTTGATATATATATAAATAATTTTTTAAATTTTTAATTATATATATTTATATAATGATATTTTTAAATATGTATATTTAAAAAATAATATTTTATATTTTATTAATTTCAGATCGGATCGGATACGATTTATATAGTGTCCGATTTGATCAGGTTCGAGTATGAAAAAACAAAAAAATTTTCGAATAAAATCAAATTTAAATTTATTAAAACATTAAATTGAATCAGGTTCGGAGCGAGTAAAACCCACCCCGAACCCGACTCAATGCCAACCCTATCTAGAATTCTATATAATAGTTACGTTGAAAAAATCCAAATATATATTAGAAAATAGACGCACATTTTTGGTAAAGTTTTTTATCTGAAAACCTTGTGATTTTGAGGTCAACAGTGATGTTTACATCATTTTTACATCTAAAGTTATGTTTTATTTTTAACAGAAAAAAATTTCACCAGGGATATTTTTTATATTTAATTTTATCAATGTATTAAGTAATAAAATATTATATATAAAGAAAAGAATACTATCGGTCCACTAATATAATTTATATATATATATATAAATATAAACATTCTAACTAAATTAATTAGTTTGGTACACATGCATTAATTAGATTAGTTTGGCTATTGATCATTGCTACCATTTATGGAGGCCACTTAATTTTGTGACACCCATAAGACATAACATAATTCTTAAAAATGATTCATAATTATGTGCAATTATTAATTAGGTTGCACTATTAGTTTTTAATAGAGTATTTGTTTAAATGACACCTATAATAGTTAGTTCTTAAAGCTTGCAAGTTCGAGAAGATTTAAATACGTAATATTTTATATGAGTTAAGTTAAAAGAGTGAGAAGAATTAAAGGTAGATTAAAAATTTTTAAAAATTTTATGCTAACAACAATATAATCTGTTAAAAAATATCAAAATTTTAATTTTAATGGTCATGGTTCAATAATTAATAACATCAATTAAAAAAAATCAATTAAGCTGTTCATCCAATAATTTTTAAATTGAAAATAACTTTTTGAGTAAATTTCGAGTTTTTATTATAATTAATTTTAGGCATGAGTTAGTGAGTCAGTTACGCTAATAGCTAAACTATTATATGTTTAAAAAAGATTGAATTACTTGGAGTTAAGAGACATGAAGAAATTATACCTCTTTTATTGGGATTCATATGCGTTCATTAATGAATTTTGCCAAGTTAGGCAACATAAATAATTGAAATCAAAGTATTGTGACAAATAGCATTACTCGGTTTGAAAGTAAGAGAATTAAAACATATCATATCATTAAAAAGCCCAAATATTGCCCTTTTCTTTTTAATATTAATGATCATTAACCAAAAATTTTACATGAAGATGATTCATAAATGGGGTAGCTGCTGCTAGCTAGAAAGATATTATATATATAATTAATATATATGTATATATGGAGATTATAATATATATATATATATATATATATCGAGATTCACTTAATGTAGGTGTTATATTCTTTACCTTTGAATAAAAATGACTAAAATTTAAAATATTTATTTTGATTTTGATCCAAGAATAAAAAATACAACATTTACATTGGTATTAGGCAATGTTAGGCACAAAGCCTATAATAAATTAATTATCTAAGTGAAAGCATAATCAAATCATAAATCATTCATGCAAGAGATAATAATTTTAACATAATTCAACACTCAACTTGTCTACCTTCATGGATTGGAGAAAAAATCTATTAGTTGTGAAAAATTATAAACATATAATCAAATCAATCTCAATCTTATCTTTAATGATCCAAATCTTATCTCTAATCATCTCAATCCAAACATTAACACACATACCCATATAGATCCTGTCTTCTCTAATTTTATAGAATGTTTTCACACCAAGCATTCAAACATGCACTTCATCAGTCTCCTCTAATCTTATGAAGTATTATTACCTCAAACATTCGAATATAAACCTATATGAACCCTCTCAATCTCTTTTAATTTTATGGTCTGTTTATCTAATAAAACCTAATAACTCTTTTATATATTTTTCTTATACATAACCTTATTGAGAGAGCCACTATTTATAAGCATACTTTACCTATCAAGAATCCTTTCTTCGCTTAAAATTTTTCTTTTACAAGTTTTTTTTTTTTTTCATCAAGTAACATTCAACTAATCTCAAACAAATTTTTTATGAGATTTGAATCCTTATTCCTATTAAATGAATCCCTCGTATATATGTGTATATGTGTTTGATGTAATTGCTTATTTGTTGATAGTAAAATTAATTAGTTGGAGATTAAGTTAAAAATTATATCGGACCTATCATAGAGAAGAAGATTAGAGGGTATCAAAAGTAATATTTCGGGATGCATTCCAACATTTAAGTTAATCAAATTTTTAATAAAAAAATAAGAGAAAAAAAAAGATAGCATAAAAGATTCAAGAGAATTTAGAATTGAGAATGTTACATGTCTGACTTAATTCTCCCTCTTATATTACATGAACGATGACATGGCCATTGACAAATAATTATCTGTCTTGAAGCAATGTATGAAAATGTTGCTTACATGGTCACTAGGATATAACTATATATAACTATATATATATATATATATATGATTTCTTAACATCAAAAATATGATAAAGGGTAAGCGTGACAATAAGGAAGGAATATAAGTTCCATCAATTTCGAGTCTTATAATATTGAGGATTTCATGTGGGTTTGGATGGTAATAGGACGATTTATATATGATATCATGTCCTTAATTTCGGATAAAAAAAAATTTCATGACCTTAGTTTCTTATTTTAGTAACAAAAGAGTGATATGAAATAATAATATTCTTTGCTTGCCTTTTAGGAAACGAACTTCAAACCTCGAAGCACCTTGTGCTTACCATCTTTGAAAAATTGCATATAAAATTGCTCACGAATCATGTGTAGTGGAAATTGTATAGACTTCATGATTCCATTTGTTTATTTAAATTTTATATTTATTTATGGATTTAGTTTTTCAAGTACTATCAATAATTAATGAGTTCTTATATTTAATTTTAATACTTGCAACTTATTCATGCTTTGCGTCAGTTTGTTTTTTAAATTATTATATTTGAAAAGATAAATTTAAAAGAATAATTTTAATTTTAATTTTAATTTATTATATAAATTATAAGAATAAAATACAAGCACATATTTAATAGAACATAAAAAATAAATTTTAAATTTAAATATTTTAAATTTTTGACGAAATAAGAATCTAACAAATTCATGAATTTAAAAATAATCATATAAATCATATTTACATGTG